CGGGGAAACACGGTACACTCACTGCCTTCCCACTCATGTAGGAACAGAGCGGGAATTCAGCACAGAGCTTCCTGTAAGATGCCACCAGAAGAGTAAATGAATTTCCTGAGCTAGACAGACACCCCGGGAGTTTGAAGGATGAGCCCATCAGTATTCTTTAGTATCCCAAGCAAAGCATCTCTCCGTCCAGTGCATCATTCCCAGGAACAGGGGTGACAGGTAGACTGTGGTCTGGCTGGTGCCTGGGGAGACCTAGCGGGGGTTGGGCATCACCACGCAGTGGCTGCCACATTACCATTACTGTACTTTCAAACCCTGAAGCAATGGGTCACGGAGTGTAAGAAGAACATAGGCTGGGTCTCAAGAAAACTGTGTGGTCTCAGGTAAAGCCCTTAACTTCTCAGACCTCAGATTCCTCTTCTGTTAAAGAAGGAAAGTGGACTAAATAATTTCTGATGTCCTTCCAGATTTAATGTCTATAAACGACAAAGCCATAGAGAAATCCAGGAGCAGGAAATAGCTGTGATGGGAAAGAAAGAACACTTTCAGGGCTCATAAGCAAAGACAGGACCAAAGAGCAATGGTGACATCTCACCCTGAGAAACTAACAGATGAAAGTGTTGGCGAGTTCTGAGCTGCCACAGTAAACCCCCAAAAGACAGCACAAAGCCACACCCTGGGAGGGACCTGACTCGGAGAGAGCTGGATTAAGTGTCTAGCCCAAGGTTCTGTGAGGGATGTGTTTGTGGTAGAGGACAATAATCTGTGACTATGCGATTCTGTAAATATTGCTTCAAATGTTGTCTCCTTAGTATTCACAGGCAAAAATAGGTAGTTAATACTTAATATTTAATCAGACTGATGCTACTATGTCACTAAAATTGCATTTAAGATATATTTTTATTGATTTCAGAGAGGAAGGGAGAAGGAGAAAGAGAAAGAAACATCAATGATAAGAGAGAATCACTGATTGGCCACCTCCTGAATGCCCCCATGGGGATCAAGCCCGCAAATGTGCAGGAGAGGGCAAAAGTAGGTTTATAGTTGTTTGTATGGAATGCTGGTTATGATGGATACAATAGTTTCATTTACTCTGTTTCACGTACTCACAACTGTAAACCTTCTTTTGGCCACCCTGTACGTATCCCTAAGACTGCCAGCCACTTCAGGGGTGGTCCTTTCACCTCTGTAACTTGTTTCCTGAGCCCATGCAATCCAGCTGGATCACTTTTGGATGCCAGGCTACCAAGATGGTAGCTATTCACTTTCAAACCCTGCGTGGACAAACTCACGTGCTTAGAGAGGCTGTGTTTACAAACTCAACCTTTCCCTGAGATGGCAAACACTGCTGGGCAAAACTAATTCTAGACAGGACATGGGACCACATTTAGGCTTATAGATACTGATTAAAAATGAACCAAAAGGCCTGGCCAGCATGGCTCAGTGGTTGAGTGTTGACCTACGAATCAGGAGGTCATGGTTCGATTCCCCGTCACGGCCATCCCCAGGTTGCAGGCTCTAGTCCCCAAGGAGGCAGCCGATCAAGAACTCTCTCTCATCATTGATGTTTCTATCTCTCTCTTCCTCTCTGAAATCATTAAAATATATTTTAAAAATGAATCAAAAGGACAAAGGTGCACAGCTACATATGAGTTTGTTTGTGTAATCATATGTTAAAGCGAAGGTTCAACTCCAGTATTTGTCAAAATCTGACAAATCATTAGCTAGCAGTCTGTCATTTAGCTTCTAGTGTTACTGCACTATAAAAAGATAAATAGTAAATTTCTTGAATATTAAAAACCCTGTCCTGTTCTCTCTCTCTCTCTCTCTTTCTCTCTCTCTCTCTCTCTCTCTCTCTCTCTCTCTCTCTCTGGAGCAGCCCACACTTTTCCCACTCTTCTTTCCTCAAAGTGGTACCTTTGCTTGCTCTCTCCTCCCTAAGCTCCAGGGGTCCTCCTTTTGCCTCGTAACTTGCTTCCTGAGCCCATGCAGCTCAGCTGGCTCACTTTTTCTACTTCTGTAACTTTTTCCCCCCAAATATATTTTATTGATTTTTTTACAGAGAGAGAGAGAGAGAGAGAGAGAGAGAGTGTTAGAAACATCAATGAGAGAGAATCATCGATCAGCTGCCTCTTGCACACCCCCTACTGGGGATGTGCCCGCAACCAAGGTACATGCCCTTGACTGGAATCGAACCTGGGTCCCTTTAGTCTGCAGACCAATGCTCTATACACTGAGCCAAACAGGTTTCGGCCACTTCTGTAACTTTCTAAATAAACTTTTACTTGTATTTTAATAAAAAACAAACAATGAAAAAGCCTCTGTCCCATATAAACCTGATGTACAAATTTGTAAATGTGCAGCTTATGACTTTATTATTCAGCCTCATCTATAGAGTTAGACAAAACTTTGGGAACTGAAATTAATAAACTAAAAAAAAACCCCCAAAATGTTTATCATTAGGAAAACGAAGAAAGGGGTATAGAGAAATATTTATTTGGGTTGTTATGACAACAGAACAAGCCATCACAACAACATTCTTTCTCCTCCATCTGTCAGACTTTGGCTTGACAGAGCTTAAGAAACACTCAATGTCCATCCTAAAGATGAAACGGAACAAAAATGTTATTCTAGATTTGAAAGATTTTTGGCTCCACTTAAAACCCTTTTATAACTCATACAATATTTGCCACAACTCTGCTATTTCCTCTTGCAGTGGGCAGACTCACTAACAATAATGAGTAAATAAATTGTGTAGTAGGAGGAGGGTGCTGGCAACAGTGACTCCAGGCCTAAATCAGGCTGAGGTCCACCCTGGGATGTCACAGGGCCATGCACTCAGTGTGTGGCACGCCCTGTTCTCATGCACTCCCTTATGGCGTTGAAAAGATTGGGGCTATGGATGGAAATCAGAAGAAGGAGGCGCTTGCTGAACAGGGCCAGGAAGTGGTGCATGTGCAACGAGTAGAGAATTGTGCCAAGTTGATAAGGATGAAAGCACCAGCTCAAACTTATGTGGAAGGCTTTCTTTGTAGATTTTTCCAGGTCAAACTACTGGCAGCCAGCCACTGCCTCCCAAGCCCTATTTGTCAGGACCTAACCCAAGAATCCTTGATTTCCTATAGCTCTTTTCCCCAAACCAGACGTAGCTGGGTGTTTGTTGATTCCTCCTGGAGGAACAGCTTTCGGTGGAGCAGCCGGAGGAGAGGTGGGTTCTGGCTTTCCTGCTTGGTAACCTCACATACACAATGCTCTTTGGTGGAGTCTCTGTGCTCTGATTAAGCTATGTCAATGTCTTCCAGGTGAGCCAGACTTAACTTGTTACAGGAAGGGGCAGAACCGAGGGCTGGAGAGCCCCAAAAAGGAAGGCTGAGCCAACGCCCCCAGAAGTATGCTGTTAAAGCTACAAGAGAGGTGGAGAGCGTGACCCCGACTTCTGAGCACAGAAGGTCTAGGCCTTCCTAAGATCATCCTTCCCACCCCCCCCCCCCCAAAGTCAAGCCTGAGAATGTACAACTAGAGGCAGTGGGGCACAGGGCGCAGCTGCCAGAGAACACAGACAGCTACTAGAGTGTGATGAAATCTGATCCTGGTCACTGAAGGGTTATTACTCATCCTTGGCTTCCAGGGCCCCATCCTTGAGAACTCTCTGGTCTGAATTCCCCAGGGTCCAGGGAGCTTGGACAGCTGCCCAGCGCCCAGCACCAGCTGCAGGCTCAGAGACAGGCTGCTTCCCGAGCTGAGCTGACGGCGTGCCCAGGGAGTACAGTAACGGTGACACTGCGAGGGAAGAACTGGAACACAGGGTGGAGCAGGCTGGGAGAGCCAAGTGGCTGCCATCCAAAAGCAACATCATCAAGGTGACCAGATGGCGTGGCATGGCGGTGGGGGGCTGGATTCCATCTCCAGCCACGCCCCCGATGAGCTCCACATTCACAGGCTCTGTCCTTTCATTCCCTTTCTTCTTCCTCCCTTTTGTTTTCCAGAGTTGAGAGGCCTATTTCCTCTTTGAACCACAGTGCTTCGATTTTTGTGTTTTGGCAAATGGCCTTCTCTCCAGATGGACTCCTTAGCTGGCCTCGTCTGCTTCTGGCCGGCGGGCCCTCTCAGCCCGGCCCGCATGGCAGGCTGTCTGCAGCTGCAGCTGCCACTGAGGCTCCTGTGCCCTCAGTTAGAGCGAAGGAGGCTCTGCTTCAGTGTTTTGTAAGATGGAAATGCCAGCAGTTCTTTTTAGAAGTTCAGAATTACTCCAAATCCTACCTGCATCTCCTCCTGGGCCCTCTTAGATTTGTGACATGGCCCTTGCAAATCACTGAGTGTGACCATTAGGCGGTGACCATTAGGTGTGTGCTTCTGTGACTGATTTGGATACAGTAGACGGGATCCTTTAGGACAGGCCTGTGCTCTTCATCGTGGCCCTGCAGCCCTGCCACGGATCGCCGGGGGCCACCTCTGCGGGCTCCTCACTTCCCACTCGGCTTTCCTCTCTGCTCAGCCACAGGGAAGTGCTTTGTGCTCAGCCTCCAGTCTCCTCACCCTCATACAGGCAGTTGCTTTTGCCTGGTCTATGCCTCAGGCTCAGGGGGACTGCGCCTGGGCTGGGAGTGGGTGCCCTTCTCCATCTCCAGGAAGCAGCCCTCTAGCAAGCCCTCACAGCACTACTGGGTGATCTGTTCTCTTCCCTGTTGCCCCACTGTACTGAGAGCTCCTTGAGGGCGGCTCTGGGTCTTCCTCCTGTTCCCAGCACATACATGGTAGAGCGCCCAACACAAAGCAGAATGAATAAAACGCAGGTAAGTGTTGCAGAGCAGTGCAGGCCTACCTCGTTTCACACCACTCGTGTGCTTGCCAACATGCACCTTAGATGCCCACTGACTCCTACTGTCACCCCAGAGGAGTGTCCTCTGAAATCCTACACCATCACCTACCCCACCACGGCATCAGACAGTCCAAGACTGCCTGTCATTCAAACACTTTATCAGAAGTAGCCAAGGTTGTACCTGAGTTTGTCTGCGATGAAGATGACCCTCCTTTCCAGAAGCAGGGAGGCAAAAACACAGAGCAGGTGGCGGACGCTGAGAGAAGAGAAGAGGGACTCAAAGTCCACATGTTCGAGCCGGGAGTCCAGCGGGCGGCACAGTTCAATCACCTGCCGGGGAACAGGAGCAGCCGTGAAGGGCCCGCCTACTCAGCCAGGCCGCTCACGCATCAAGTCGTCCTCTGCAAAGGTGGCCCACTGGCAGGGTAAAGGGGAAGGAAGACAAAAGGGATTGGGGAAAAGGAAGAACCCAGGACAGTGGCGGCAGGTAGGTGTGGAAGGGAAGCACATGCCTCGCACTCAACTATGAGCCTGAGGACAGTTCGGACGGAGGTGGGGAAAGGATGGCGGAAGCAGTGCCTTGGCCCTAAGTGGTCGGAGGCTCTCCTGGACTCCCCACGGAGTTCTCTGGCTGCTGACCGTGTGCTGTCCCTGAGAGCCCTGCCGGCTAGCGTAGGTCTCAGGAGGAAGTATCACCTGGAGGGATGGGGTCGCAGGCTCACTCAGAGGGACCAGCAGGTCTGAGCAGCACTTTCTAGATTCACCTCATCTAGAAGGACTTTCTTAAAGGACCAACCCCATTCTAAACCTCTGATGTGGAGCCTTTCAGCGCTTACGTTGAGTGTATCTTTTCATTCCGTATTTGCTGTTATGTTCCTGAACTCATCTTGGTCACTACTCATGTGCATGTTTTTTCTCTGTAAGGGAGCTGGCTCCTTCACAGAGCAGAGACTGGTTTCACTCTCAGCACAGTGCCTGCTCAGAACTGTTCACTCAGTGGGCTCGCTCATGCTAACATCCCCAAGGCCAAGCTGCCTGCATCTGGTGTGGGATGTTTCTCCAGCCACAGGGAGACTGCTCTTCTCTATGCTGGGAAATTGGTTGTTCTGGAATGTCCCAAACCCATCTTCCCCCTCCCTTCTGCACCCTGGCTCCACAGGTGACTTGTTTTGCCAAGGACTTTAGAATTAGAGCTCCAAGTCTGAGACAGATGTGCTTCTGAGGTACCAGAGCCATATAAGGGGAATGGGAAAAATGCAAACCAGCTCCTGCATCAAACGCCAGCCCAGCAAGGACATAGGGTGAATGAGGAATAGTCCCTGAGCTTGTTTTCACTAAAAATAATCTGTTTTACATAATAAAGTTATAGAGGTGATGCATTTAAAAACATAAACAGGTTCACATACAATTCAAGAATGCAATGGGCCTGGCTGGCACTGCTCTGTGGCTGCTCAACCTATGAACCAGGAGGTGAGGGTTCTGTTCCTGGTCAGGGCACATGTCCAGGTTTCAGGCTCAATCTCCAGTAGGGGGCACACAGGAGGCAGCCAATGATTTGCTTTCATCATTGATGTTTCTCTCCTTCTCTCTCTCTTCCTTCCTCTCTGAAATCAATAAAAATACAAAAAGAGAGAGAGAGAGAGAGAGAGAGAGAGAGAGAGAGAGAGAGAGAATGCAATGAGCTATAATGAGAAACCAAGAATGTTCAGTGCAGGTCTCTAACCTGGAAGGCCAACATGTGCTGCCATGGCGCAGTTCTGGGGGTTGCTCTCTGGGCCAGAATCCTGGGCTGGATGAATTAGACTTATGACACCGAGGAGCAAGAGGACACCACCGAATGTGACAGCCCACAAAGGCCAGCCCCTCAGACCACTGGGAGTTGGCTGTTTGGGTCATTCTCTCCACTAGGAGAGGAAAGGAATCTGACCACCTACCTCAGTTCCTGTTCCTGGCAGGAAGTTCTTGACAATGATGGTTTTGCCCAAGGCTGGGAAAGGGGCTTCCATGACACTCCTCATGAGGGGCTGGACCAGGGCAGGAGAGATGCCTCGGCGTTTTTCCACCTCATCCAAGATCTGCAAGGGTCAGAAAAGCAGCTCAACCATCCTGAGTCAGGGCACCAAGGTGTTGCCTGTTCCAGATGAAGTGGGCCTGCCATGGAGACTGAAGAATCATGGGAAGCCCTGCTGTCTTCATCAGACCAAGCTTACAATCTCTATGTGTTATCACCCTAATCCTCTCCCCTCTGTCATTACTCTTTGCCATGTGATTTTTATTTTTTATTTTATTTTTATTTATTTACTTATTTTTAAATAGGTTGCTATCCTTTTTTTAAAAAAAGATGTTTTTATCGATATCCTTTTTTAAAAAGAAGATGATTTTATAGAGGGGAAGGGAGAGGATAGAGATAGGGACATTGATCAGAGAGAAACCTCATTGATCAGCTGCCTCCTGCATGAATTTCATAGGGAGGGGGAGACAAGTCAGAGAAAACATGTATTAAAAGACTGCACAGGGGAACAATAATGAAAAATGGTTGAGGAGCCAGGGCCAGTGGAATGAGAGAGCCAGTGGTCGGCCCAGCCTTCAGAGGCCTTTGGAGGCCTGCCTTTTGAGTTTTTGATTGCCTGCCTGTGCCTCTGCCATAGCCGTAAGAAGAGCAGACATGGGCCAGCTCTCTGTCTAAAGAGGATGACAGACATGTGGCCCAGACCCAACCGGACTTGCAGCCTAAAGCAGATCCGCCAGCCCAGATCAGCCAACCCCTGCCTACTCCTAGCACAGGAGGGAGCCCAGTGGAGATCAGCAAAGCCAAGCCCTGCATGTCTGTGATAATAAATGACTGTTGCTTTCATCCACTGTGGTTTGCTATCTAGCATTATTGTGGCAATATTTAATGATAAACTTTCTTCAGAGATTCTGAGAGCAGTTCTTATCCATGATTCCTATCTAAACTAAAGAACAATTTGCCATTTTTGTCATCCTTGTCCCTCACCTGAAAATAACTTGAGTTCTAGGGATTAGTTTGCCAAAGCTGTTTCTGATTCCACCCTGAGTATTTGCTGTACCATCTCTGGCAGGTCATGACACTACATTCTTAAAATATCCCTGGTCACAAAACTGACGTGAAATCCCAGGATTGTGCCTCATGCAAACATGATGGCATGTTTACTTGCTCCACATCCCCTGCACAGGACATAGCAACAAAGCTCATGTGAATTCCAAAGCTGCCTTTGGAATCTGGGCTAACTCACATGAGTTGTTTTACTTCCAGCTTTCTTTTCTTTTCTTTTCTTTTTTCTTTTTAAATATATTTTATTGATTTTTACAGAGAGGAAGAGAGAGGGATAGAGAGTTAGAAACATCGATGAGAGAGAATCATTGATCAGCTGCCTCCTGCACCCCCCCACTGGGGATGTGCCCACAACCAAGGTACATGCCCTTGACTGGAATCGAACCTGGGACATTTCTTTAACCACTGAGCCAAACCGGTTTTGGCTTTTTTTCTTTTTTTTAATTAAAACAAAATTTTTTTCTTTATTGATTAAGGTATTACATATGTGTCCTTACTCCCTGGCCCCCCCCCCCCCTTTGACCCTCTACCCAGGTTTCTTTTTTGGGTGAGAAGCAGGAAGGGAGAGAAAGAAACCTCTACCTGTCGTTCCACTTACTGATGCATTCATTGGTTGATTCCTGCATGTACCTGACTGGGTATTGAACCCGCAACCCTGGTGCAACCAACTGAGCTACCTGACCAGGGCTATTTCCAGCTTTCACATAAGCATTCTCACAATTACAAAGGCTGTGACCTACAGCCTTATTTCTGTCTTTAAACCCATGTAGAAGACTTGCATAAGCAGCAATTTATAAATGACCAATTTTTTTATTGTTATTTTTTAGAATATATTTGATTAATTTTTACAGAGAGGAAGGGAGATGGATAGAGAGTTAGAAACATTGATGAGAGAGAAAAACATCGATCAGCTGTCTCCTGTACACCCCCCGCATTAGCATGATATAGCATAATAATCTCCTATACACTAATTCAAAGTACTGCGGCAGATGGGCCAACTCAATATGGCAGTTCCTGTATCTGGGTATATTGGCAGAACAAATTATATTAAGATTTCAATAGATTTAGGGCATTATTACAATAAATTGTACACACATAGCACATATACACAAAACACATATATACACTGATACAGATACATACATACATGCATCATAGTATGTTTTTGTCCAGCAAAAGCAAATATGACGAAAGACAATGCTTAGAAGAAGAAAAATGAAACATGGGATATTTTGGGAAGATCCTCTGCCCCTGCCATCCTTAGCTACAATTACTTTGATTCTCTCCCCTTCCCCAGTTCCAGAGCCCTGACCTTCATCATCTGTTATTTCCTGATCCAACGATAAGAGAATAGAGGCCACCGTGAGGGGAGGAGGAGGAAGTGGGAAGGAAGAGTGGAGAGTTAGATTACAAAAGAACTGGAAGTTGGGGTGTTTCCTGTGTCCTTTGGGGCCCTTCCTCCTTTCTCGGAGGCCCGAATCCTCACCTTTGAAAAAAGGCTGAAGCATCCCAGGCGGCTCACGATGCAGTAAACTTCAGGGAGACGCTTCCCTTTGCCACCAGGCTTTTTGGAGAGAAATACAGGAAATCATGAGTGCTACCAACTTCAGGGAAGGAGAGAACCCAAAGATTTCTGAGTGCTATTGTTTGTCAGATGTTTTCATGCACCATACCTTCGGACAACTCTTGTGCGCGCAGTAGGTGCTCAATTTGGCTTACGTATATAATCATAAATAAAAGGCATAATTTGTTTACCAAAATCACTGTAGTTTCTTGTAAGAAACTATATGTTTATTATAATAAACTTTTAAATGAACTATATATTTTTTTATTATACTGATAATTCCAAAGGAGAAATAACTTCTGAAAATCCTTTGTGGAAACTAACTTTTAAGCTAATTAAAAAAACAAAAACAGCCCCTATGATGTCCAGCACTGGGCTCTGACTCCCCTTGAAGACACGGTGCCCCCCAGGACCTTTGACACCTGGGGGTCTGAGGGGCCCTGGCAAAAAACAAACAAATAAACAAACAAACAAACAAAAAACAAAACAAAATAAAAAACCACCACAAAATCAATCTCAATACTTTAAATTAATTTTACCAACAAAAATGACCCTACTGCCAAGATCGGTTTGGCTCAGTGGATAGAGTGTCGGCCTTCGGACTGAAGGGTCCCGGGTTCGATTCCGGTCAGGGGCATGTACATTTGTTGTGGGCGCATCCCCAGTGGGGGGTGTGCAAGAGGCAGCTGGTCGATGTTTCTCTCTCATCGATGTTTCTAGCTCTCTATCCTTCTCCCTTCCTTTCTGTAAAAAATCAATAAGATATATTAAAAAAAAATGACTCTACTTAACTTTTTCAAGGATTATCCATACTTTTTATTCAGTAATTAATTCAACAAATATTTGCTTAAGAGGTACTATGTGCCATGTATATTTTAAAAAATGATATATATTATTGAATTTTTACAGAGAGGAAGGGAGAGGGATAGAGAGCTAGAAACATCCATGAGAGAGAACCATCGATCAGCTGCCTCTTACACACCCCCTACTGGGGATGTGCCCGCCACCAATGTACATGCCCTTGACCGGAATCGAACCTGGGACTTTTCAGTTCGCAGACGGATGCTCTATCCACTGAGCCAAACCAGTTTTGGCCATGTATTACTCTTTTTTTATTTTAAGAATGCTTTTATTGATTTTATAGGGAGAGGAAGAGGGGGAGAGAGAAATGTCAATTGGCTGCCTCCTGCACAACCCCCCTAAGCTGGCCATGTGCCCTGACCAAGTATTGAACTAGTGACCTTTATTGCATGGGATGATGCCCAACCAACTGAACCACACTGGCCAGGGCCATGCATTATTCTTTTTAAAAACATATTTTTATTAATTTCAGAGAGGAATGGAGAGGGAGAGATAGAAACATCAATGATGAGAGAGAATCACTGATTGGATGCTTCCTGCACGTCCCCTACTTGGGATCCAGCCTGCAACACAGGAAAGTGTCCTTGATTGGAATTGAACCCAGGACCCTTCAATCCATGGGCCAACACTCTATTCACTGAGCCAAACTGTCTAGGCATATTATTCTTTTTTTTTATATATATATATTTTATACAGAGAGGAAAGGAGAGAGATAGTCAGAAACATCGATGAGAGAGAGTCATCAATCAGCTGCCTCTTCCACACCCCCTACTGGGGATATGCCTGCAACCAAGGTACATGCCCTTGACCGGAATCGAACCCGGGACCCTTCAGTCCCCAAGCCAACGCTCTATCCATTGAGCCAAACCGGTCTCAGCTATTATTCTTTTTAAAAAATATATTTCATTGATTTTTTACAGAGAGGAAGAGAGAGGGATAGAGAGTTAAAAACATCGATGAGAGAGAATCATCCATCAGCTGCCTCTTGCACACCTCCTACTGGGGATGTGCCCGCAACCAAGGTACATGCCCTTGATCAGAATCGAACCCAGGACCTTTCAGTCTGCAGGCTGACGCTCTATCCACTGAGACAAACCGGATTCAGGTTTCGGCACATTATTCTTCTTCTTTTTTTTTTTTTTAATAGATTTTTATTGATTTTAGAGAAAGAAGAAGTGAGAGGAAGTGAGAGAAACATTGATGTGAGAGAGAAACATCAATTGGTTGTCTCCTACACAAATCCTGACTGGGGATTGAACCCATAACTTGGGCATGTGCCTTGGTCAGGAATTGAACCCATAACCTTTAGGTGCATGGGATGAGCCACACAGGCCAGGGCCATGCATTATTCTTGACTCTAAATTATATTAGCCTAGTTCTAAGACTAAATTCATCTTAGTAGAAAATGATGTGTCACTACTAAAGATTTTCAAGGGAATGAGCCTCAAAGGACAAGTTTTCAAATGTTTTAGCACAGTTAGTATATTGGGATAGTTATGATTTTTAAAGGCTCTGAAGGAGACACTTGATCAATGATTTGCATCATGAACAATAAAACCAACCTTCTGTCCTTAGCCTCATTATGAATGTTCTCACTAAGATACCAAGGTCTGTTTAGCATGCTTTATTAGAAAGGACATTTAATTTAAGAAGAGAAAGTCTTTTACTTGGTGGGGAAAACATTGGAGAAATTATTTTCTTTCTGAAGGAGACAGATACATTGTTCCGGTCTGTCAGTAAGATTTAGCTGAGCCCCCCAATCTTCCTCTATATTTAAAAAAAAATTTAAATAAATAAATAAATAAATAAATAAATAAATAAATATATATATATATATATATATATATTATTGATTTTACAGAGAGGAAGTAAGAGGGATAGAGAGTTAGAAACATTGATGAGAGAGAAACATCAATCAGCTACCTCCTGCAAGTCCCCTATTGGGGATCGAGCCCGCAACCAAGGTATTTGCCCTTGACCAGAATTGAACCCAGGACCCTTCAATCCTTAGGCCACCGCTTTATCCACTGAGCCAAACTGATTAGGGCTCTTCCTCCATGTTCTTAACCTGTCACACCGCCTGTCCCTTCTCTCGTGGCACACGGTGAAACCTTAGGAAGCCAATATTAGCTCTGTGTGGCACTCTTGCTGATTGAGAAGCAAATGTACTAACCAGCAGTCTTCGGCAGTAACCGAACCTTCTGCCTCCGTCTTCTCCAGTTAAGACAAATGAGAAGGTTTCACTGTGGTGGGGAAAACAGAAGTACATTATGAAGCAAAACAAAACGAAGACACACCACGATGAGTGATGTAAACATTCTGATGGAGGCTGTCCATTTCTGGCTGGGACTCTGGTCACCTCTCGCTTTGGAGTCTGTCAGGGACAGGGAGATCTAAAGTGTCACTGTGTTCAGAGGGTTTTGGTTTTTTCCCCCCACCCTGAGATCTCATATAATTCTATCACCTGAGCCATCCCCGGACACAAAACAGTCATTTATTGAGCACTGATTACTGCCTTCCATGAGCACGAGGGTGAGGTCACATGCACTGGTCTAGGGATGCGACTCAGTGAGGGAGAAGTTGACGAGTGGGACAGTTCTGGGCGCCCTGGAAACTGCCCTGGGTTCCCAGGGGACTGTCTGTGCAGAGCCACCTCCAGGCTTGGACTGTCCTTAGAGGCTGCTGGGTCAACTTTGAGGAACACAGCAGCCCTCAAACATTTAGGATATACAACCTACTGAGATTGGTCAGTTGCTAAACATCTGGCAATAAAAATTTTATGCCTAGCCACATGGGCTAGAGCAGAAATGTGAACTAATCACAGTCTGAGTAACTGCCGGAGGGCTACTGAAGAAATGCCTCAGTGGACCTGGGAAGGATGGGTGATGGGCAATGTTTCCCTAGACTAAGAATGACCTTATTGCCCTTCACAAAGGCTCATGAAGCAAACAAATGCACAGACTGAGTGAGCAGTCTGGGAACCTGCATATTTAGCAAGCTTATTCTTATCTTCAGGAAAGTTTTAAAAACACTGGTGAGGGAAACCTCCAGCCCAGGCCCATAAAGATCTCTTAATGGTAGGCTTGAATTATGGGGTCTGTCATTTCTGACCTCATCTCTAGTTCTTGTATTAGTCTTAAAATAAATAAATAAAATATACATATATATATATTGATTTCAGAGAGGAAGGAAGAGGGAGAGGTAGAAACATTAATGATGAGAGAGAATCATGGAGTGGCTGCCTCCTGCAGGCCCCCTACTGGGGATCGAGTTGGCAACCAGGGCATGTGCCCTTGGCCAGAAATGAACCCAGACCCTTTGGTCCACAGGCCAGTGCTCTGTCCACTGAGCCAAACAGACTAGGGCTTGCCTTAGTCTTTGAGGGTTGGGAGGAGAGATGCCAGCACCTACCTAGTAAACTGCTGGACAGGAGTCCAATCCTTGGCATCGGGGAAACAGAACTGGGGGATGGCCTTCAGCTGGTCCTCAGCCTCTCTCATGAACTTGAAAGACCTTTCCAGCTGCAGGGAGAAGGGGGAGAGAAGGTTGAGAATAAACCATAGCATGGGAGAATGAGGCAGAGGCGTGGCAAGACCACACATCTCCAATCTTCCCACAGTCCTGACCGCCACCTTAAAACCCCCTTCCTTGGAAGGTTTCCAGCTCATTCTGCTGAGGCCATTTCCTCCCCGCCATTTTTAACCATGATCTTATGGGGAAAGTGAGGAGCAAAAACAGTGTGCTTTAGAGAAATGTTTCTATGCTTACCATTCTGGAATGTAACTATTTTAATCAATAAGGAAAAACTGTCATAGCAATCCCTTCCAAATAGGAGACTCATGAGTATGCAAGGCTGAGCCTCATATCAAGTCTTCAAACCTCTTGGCCGAGACAAAGCTGCCTGTCCTGCAAAGAAGTGTACAACACCTCTCAGAGAATACATCCAGTCACATTATATCCTCCAGTGAATTCAACTCAGTTCAGACTCCTTGGATGTCAGAACCAGAAGGAAAATAGACATCATCCAGTCTCACAGTCTTCTTTTAGAGGTAAGAAATTAAGCCTTGAGATGTTAAGTCATCTGTTCATGATCACAAAAGTATGGAACTGAGCTAGGAATAAGTATGATCTTGCCCTGGCTGGTATAGCTCAGTTGGTTGAGTGGAGTCCAATGTACCAAAAGGTCGCTGGTTCGATTCTGGGTCAGGACATATGCCCAGATTGCAGACTCTATTGCCAGCAGGGGGCATGCAGGAGGCAGCCAATTGATGTTTCTCTCTCTCCCTCTTCTTCTTCTTCTTTTTTTTTTTTTTTTTTTTTAATATTTTTATTGATTTTTTTACAGAGAGGAAGGGAGAGAGATAGAGAGCTAGAAACGTCGATGAGAGAGAAACATCGACCAGCTGCTTCTTGCACACCCCCTACCGGGAATGTGTCCGCAACCAATGTACATGCCCTTGACCGGAATCGAACCCAGGACCCCTCAGTCTGAAGGCCGACGCTCTACCACTGAGCCAAACCGGTTTTGGCTCTCTCCCTCTCCTTTCCTTTCTCTCTAAAATCAATAAAAATATATATTTTAAAATTATCTTAGTCTCTAGTTAGTTTTTCTCTCTCCAATTTATCTGACATCACAGACTAGGTGAGCATCATCTTATTTAAAAACAGAACAAATGAATAAAGTCTGACTTAGAGATTATATTTAAAGCCATGAGTTTGCTTATTTTGTGTGTGAACAGGAATCTGTGCTTCTAATTTAAAAAAAATTTTAGGTTAATCCTCACTCGAAGATATTTTTTCCATTTATTTCCAGAGAAAGCAGAAGGGAGGGAGGGGGAGAGAGAGAGAGAAAGAGGGAGAGAGACATCAATGTGAAAGAGAAACATGGATTGGTTGCTCCCTGAATGTGCCTGGACAGGGGCCAGGGTTTGAACTTGTAATCCAGGTATATGCCCTTTCCTGGGAATCAAACCCTCAACCCTCTGTTGCTCAGGCCAATGCCCTAATCACAGAGCCACACCAGCTAGGGCCACATGAGCACATTTACAGGGAGTAGCACATACAGATCCCATCAAATACAGCCAATATCACAGATGGCTGGAAAATATCCCAGTCTCTGTAAATTGTCATAGAGAACTGCATGACAGCAAATAACTTATGGAATATGACAATGATTCCTAGCATGCAAATATAAAGTATAAACCTTGAGTACAGTGACTACAGGAGTGGGACACAAACTCAGGAAAATGAGTTAGAAAAGAGAAGGAGAAAGAAAGAGAAAGAGGTCTTTTTAACAGAGTGAGCGAGTGAAGGAAGTAGATATACCTTAAAGTAGCCTGGCATGCAAAATACATGTATGGAATGGTCATCATAATATAAAAAATACAATTAAAGAAACACTGGTGCTGAAACCGGTTTGGCTCAGTGGATAGAGCGTGGGCCTGCGGACTGTAAGGTCCCAGGTTCGATTTTGGTCAAGAGCATGTGCCTTGGTTGCGGGCACATCCCCAGTAGGTGATGTGCAGAAGGCAGCTGATCGATGTTTCTCTCTCATCGATGATGTCTCTAACTATCTATCTCTCTCCCTTCCTCTCTGTAAAAAAATCAATAAAATATGACATAGATTAGGCTGCCATAATGGAGAATTATCTAATTTTGAAAATGATTTAGAATTTGCAATCCAGGCATGTGCCCTTGACTAGAATTGAACCCTGGACCCTTTAGTCTGCAGGCCATTGCTCTATCCATTGAGCTAATACATATTCAATTTGTATTGAATATGTTTATAAATAATCAGTGGTTTACAAAACATGATTAAAAAATGATACATGTACAGAATGGGACAAAGAATGTTCATAGTTGTGTGTACAAGAAACACAGAGTTTGTATTACCCTTTATTAATTATTGCTTGTATTACCCTTTATTAATTATTGTATTATTTTCTATATGAACAACTATACTGGTAAACCTACTTTTGTCTCACCCTGTTTTGTAAGAAGATCGTAATATGAAAAAAGACTAGAAGAAAATACAACAAATGTGTTGATCTCTATGGAATGAGATTATAGGTGACTTTTTAGTTTCTGTTTAAAATGTTTTTATTGGTTTTAGAAAGAGAGGAAGGGAAAGGAGAGAGAAAAAAATATGGATGTAAGAGAGAACCATCACTTGGCTACCTCCTGCACAACCCCTACTGGGAAATGAGCCCGAAACCTGGGCATGTGTCCCAACCAGGAATCAAACCGGTGACACTTTGGTTTGATACCCAACCAACGGAGCCACACTGGTCAGGGCCACTTGTTTCTTTACACATTTGCTGATCAATCTCTTCTTAACAGTGACTATGTAATTTTCCACTCAAAAAAGTTTCAATGTGGATGTCTAGCAGTCTGGAGATTAATTGATCAACTAATTCATGAACTAGTGCCTTTATTCCTGGAACACTGATTAAGTACTGCCATATACAGCATTGTATTTGGCCCCAAGGAGTAAACATAATGACAGAACAGTCCTTCCTCCCTTGGTGCTTGCTATGTGTGGTTCTCAATGGTATTGTGCGTCAGTGATAACCAGCAGCCTCTCACCAAGGGGACATCATCCCCAAATCTAGGCATGTCCATAGCATGGGGGTTTCCATGGGATTGCCCCTAGAAGTCAGCAGGATGAAGGTGACTATGTGGCAGTTTGGAGGTACCTCTGGCTCACTTCATTTATGTGGTCTCCATCCTAAACTCCAAGAACAGGGCTTTATTGCAGTGCTGAACCACTGTGGTGCAACAGAAGGAAGGCTGGCCCAGGAAAGGAGGGGAGGGGCAGGTGTAACCTAGGCTTCAGTTGGTTGGAGATGGCAAAGGGAGGCCCTCAGGGGGGCAGGACACAGGCTCTCCTCCACCTGAACACCCTCAAGCCTTGGCCTGCATGAACCCTACAGGGAGTGTGTCACATGCTACCTCCTGAATCTTTTGTATGCTTACCTTTTTAAAAAAACATATATTTTTATTGATTCCAGAAAGGAAGGCAGGGAGAGAGAGAGAGAGAAACATCAATGATGAGAATCATTGATTGGCTGCCTTTGGCACACCCCACACTGGGGATCGAGCCCACAAACAGGCATGTACCCTGACCTCCTGATTCATAATTCGATGCTCAACCACTGAGCCACGCTGGCTGGGCTGTATGCTTATCTTGTGCTCTCCTGTCAGAGTGTAAATTCCTAAGGACAGAAAACACATTTTGCTCATCTATGAAACCTCTGGGGCTGAATGCAATAGGGATTTCAGTAAATTCTGGTTGGATTGTAGAATGTGATGGAAACTTTTTAATACTGCTGTAAAAAATCAAGAACAATTTACATAGTATTGGCCATGCCATTTGAGGCTTTATTCAGGGCCATTTTATTTTAGGTGCCATGATTTAATACATGAGTAGAGCCCAATACTCATAGCTATGAACCTTGTTAGAACAGATCAGGATTCCTGTATGTCTGCACATACAGAAGTGCATGGCACCCATACAGACATTTATTAGCATGGCAACTAATGTGACACTCCTTAGGGAGAGCTGTGTGGCTAAATGGGAAAGAGGCCTCTAGAATATGTTGAAAAATGTGGTTGGATAAGAAGACCAGGGAAGGGGGAAAGAATAGTACGGTTGGCATAGAGACCATAGGAATTTAGGATGTATTTTTGATCATGCTCTGAGCCCTTGGATCTCAACTCCTGTAACCTCCAAAATTCTCCAGCAGAAGTTTCTTCATGATATCCCTAATTAGGACCCAATGTTGATATTCTCAGACCCACAAACCTCCCTGAATCCATGAGTTCCAGTCGCCTGGCAGGCTGCAGGGGCCGGGCCCGCCCAGTACCTTCAGGGGGAACTGCTGGGTGAGCTCTGGCACGTAGGCGGCCCCTGCCTGCTTCTTGTGCAATGACACGACCACAAAGTACTCGAAGAGCTGCCTCTCCTGGTACTCGATAAGCTCTCGGTCAAGTGATGAGTATCTTGGAGCCTGCTTCAGGCGGGACTTCACATTGACCAGGCGTCGGCTATGAGCTGGGGGCAGAGAAGAGAAGGGTAGAGGGGGAGAGGGGGAGGAAGAGTGAGGGAGGGAGAGGGAGAGGGAGAAAGAGTCTGAAGATGACCCATTTTCCAATGTGCAATTGCACAGAGCTGCAATGGGTTATGTAATTCCCAGCTCAAAGTACTTTTCTAATCCTAAAAAAGTGTTCCCACATTTAACAAATTAGTACAAATTCTTTCTTTGGGATCCTTGCCAGAATTCTGGGAGGAGAACACCCTCTAGGCCGCCAGGCAAATTGGGGTGCAGGAACTTGGAATGTGGGGCTTCTGCTCCACCCTGGATTTGCTGTCTGGACTTGGGGCTGGGCCGGGAGCAATCCTTGCGTTCCTCTGTCGGGTGTGTGTGTGTGTGTGTGTGTGTGTGTGGAGACACTGACTCGTCCCCTCCCTCATTTCCCTTATCTTTCCAATTGTGGGCTGTGACAAAATCCAAACCATAGAGCTTTTGGAGCTGGGAACTTTGTAAACATCCCATATGACTCAACCAAGAGAGACCTGACTAACCCAAGAACTCCATCTGCCTTCACCATTCTGTGCAATGGAAATGAGCCCGCTTTACTCGAGGCGGGCTGTGTAGCAGCAGAATGTTAGAGGTGTATGAGGCAGGGACACTGGTGGATGGATCTCCATCGCCTTACAAGAAGGCACTGGGCTGCAGCTTTCTTTGACTTCTACCTGCGGTCTGAGAAATTGCAGAAAACTCATTAAAGCCTGACCTAAATCACCACATTTTGATCCACAGGGACTAATTATTTCAATGACTTCATATGATAAATGAGGAGCTAGAGGCCCTGAGATCTTATGTGAGTTCCTCCAGATCATACAGACATTTGAATAGTAGGTTCAAAGCCCCAGGTGTCCAGAGACTCAGGCCAGCGGTGTTGTACCTCACTCAGGTGTGAAATACACCTAGGACCCAACGGAAAGGCATGGGAACAGTGGGGCCCTGCAGGTGTAGCTGCCCTGCATCTCTGGAGTGGAACAGGCCCATCCTAGTTATGCTGAGGACTGGCCCGCCCACCCCCCAGCATCCTATGACCCCCCCAGCCCTTGTCCTGGCATGGCAACTGCTCTTCTCACCTTTCAGCTTCTCCTCGGTGTCACTGTCAGACTCACTGTTCTCATCTGTCACTAGACCGAAAAAAAAAGGAAGAAAGTTGCAAATGTGAGTTTTCTAACGTAAAAAACTTTTTAAAAAATATATTTTTATTGATTTCAGAAAGGAAGGGAGAGGAAGAGACAGAAACATCAATGATGAGAGAGAATCATTTAATTAGCTGCCTCCTGCACATCCCCTTCTGGGGTTTGAGCAACCCAGGCATGTGCCCTTGACCGGAATGGAACCCAGGATCCTTCAGTCTGCAGGCCAATGCTCTACTCACTGAGCCAAACCAGCTAGGGCTGTAGGAAACTTTTTATATGTGATAGCACCAAGCCAAGATTTCTAGTTTAGAAGGGCTGTTTTCCTTTTGTCTATTTAAATGTAATGGACAAATTATGTCTTTGTCCAAGAAAACGTATTTCTAAATTAACTTGGCCCTAGATTAGATGGTAACTACATCAAATTATACAGCAAAATATACTGGCCCCTTTTATGCGTGCTGAGCAAGTAGGACTGCTCCCACAGGGAGGTCGGATCATGCGGCCTGGGCTCACTGGATGGAAGGACGGGGAGAGAGGACCAGAGGACATGCCACCAAGCTGAGCTCCTGGCTGTTGGATTGTCCCGGGTACAAGGAAGACATTCACAAAGCACCAGCTTGTTCTCTTGGTGAGCCAACCCAAAGCAACAGGAATCCACTTCGAGGAAGAATCTGTTTTCAGATCCTCTGGATGAGGAGAGATGGTGGTGGGGATGCTCCTACCTTTTCCTGAGTTGCTCTCTGTGGACTGGGACAGCCTCTTCACTCGTTTCTTTCCTCTTCGGGCCTCATAAATGGCATTGATTCGCAACACCAGCTGCCAGACACCAAGAGAAGAAACGCCAGTGTTGGCAGCCTCCTCCCCATGTGCAGCTGGGATCCCGTCACTGCCCATTCTCTTCCAGAAGGATGGAGGGCCAGGAAAAGGAGCGGGGAGGAGACATGTCGCACTGGCCCCCTGGCGTCTTTTCTGCCAGAACGTAGCAGTCAAGAACACTAATGGAGCTGCCATCCTCCCTGATGTATGAGCAGCGTTGTCTAACACAGGGAGGATGATTTCATATGCTAACACAGGGAGGACGATTTCACTGGTTAATGGAATGATGGCTGCTTCCCTTTCAATATTCCAGTATCACTGTGGTTTGGGAAAAAGCTTTTGCCCACAAAACAAAACAAGAAAGGAAGAGGAAGCAAAACAACAACAAAAACAAACAAACAAACAAAAAACACACAAAAAACAAAACTCCCAGAAGGGCCCCTTTCGTGGGAACCAGGCCAAAGCATGTCTGAATGGGAAGGGCGCAGGGATCATGGGTGCTGAGTCCTCACCTCTGCACAGAGTGGTGCCATGCTATGATTCAAGTTTTTATAAGATTTTGTGTAACGTGATGGTAAAACATGCTGATTTTTCTCTGGTTTGATAAGGACTGTCACAAAGCTATTTGACACAGTGCCTGTGTGCTGTTTACATGGTGGCAATTCACTTTGATTTCAGGCAGTAAAGTAAGAGGAAATAAACTGATGCAAATTAAACATGTGGGTGAAAAAGAGTCGCATACTAAACTGAAAAAGCTCAGGGGAGGCCTGCATGGAGGACTTCAAACTCAGAGACTGAAAGTAACCACATTGGATACTCTGAACATAAAAATTCCTAACTAAAAGCTAGTCATGGCAACAGTCATGTCCTAGGCTTACAGGCCTTGAGAAAGGTCAGCCTTTACCTTAAGTTTGCCTATAGTCTTTTTGCACCTAAGATAACATACCCTTGGAACGTCACAGCAAATCTTCCTTTATTGGATGCCTCAGGGCATAACCACAGGCCAGAGCACCAGACCTCTGGTGCGTCTCTGCGGTGGCTGCTGACACTGACACCGAGCACGGAGGAAGGAGTCTACTGTCTGAGGCCATGGAAGAGGAAGAGGTGGCCTTTGGAGGCTGGGCATTGGAACACTGTCTGGATCAGAAGAGTAGTTAATGCTGGGAGGAGGATGGTGATGTGAAAGGCTACAGGGCCACAAGAATTATTACGACAAAGGCCCAGACATCCCATCCTGCTGGCTTCACGGTGTCCGCCTGGCCTGCGACAAAGCAGACAGAAGAGGGCACAGGATTGTCCTCCGCTCAGACTCCTCTGCAGAACTTCTTTTGCAGGAAGGGGGGTGACTATCTGAACATGAAGCTTGCTGCAAGCCTTACCTTGGGTATCTTTTTCTTCTTCCTGCCATTTGGCAGGTCCCCAAGGTTAAAGAAAGTGTCGTCAGGGCTGCTGGGGGTGGAAGGGGGGCTGATTCTGGAAGGGGACACCATTCCATCCCGACTCAGCTTCCTAGTGTCCAGCAGTTTGAAGTTCCTCCTGTCTGAATTTTGCCGGAAAAAAGCAGGTTTGGACAATAACTGCTGTGAGGGGAAAGAAGAAAAGAAGGATAAGTAAATTCAAAATGGATGAATGGGAGATCACTGGTGGTGCCAGAGACCATGAGATTGAGAAGGGGAACTGGTCTAGGTTCCCAGGGTCCCTTGAACCTGTCTATAAGTTCACTTATCATCTAATTATGGAAAATTGGTATGATAAATAATGCAGATCTATTTCTCTTTTTAGACAGGTGGGAACTCACTTGGTTTAATCACTTACTTAACAGATGAGGCTTTCTGACAACCCAAGACACATAGCAATATAACACCTAAGACTAGCTTTGACCCTGCTGCTGGCAAGCTGATTGCCTCCTAGATAAGGAATTTCATGTCTCTGGGCCTCATTGTCTTATTTCTAAAAATGAGTTGCTTTAAGGTTAAAAGCCAACCAAAAAACTTGGGTAACTCACAGAGCTCATTTTTCTATTGCATACTACAATATGTTTATAGAAAAGAAAATACAATGATTCTTAGATATTTGAAAAGGTTCTTAGTGTCACTCATAAGATAAAAGAAAATTAAAAAGCCATTGTGGAATTATTTTTCACTCAAAGATTAGCAAAGATAAAAAAAAATTGATAATTCTCTTGGGGTGACTGGAAATTGATACTCTCTATGGAGGGCAATATAACAGTATCAACAAAATTACATATTTTCACCCAGTAATTCCACTTCTAGGAATTTGTCCTCCTGATATGCTCATACTGTACAAAGTTATATTGTACAAGGAAAGTATACTGTGCAAAGTCTATTGTATAATGTACTATGATGTGTAAACATAAAGTACTGGAAACAACCTAAATGTCTATCAATGGAGGCTGGTCAAATAAGTTATTGTTGATCTATACAGAGGAATACAATGCAGGTGTAAAAATCGTAATGTACTGATATGGAAGGTTATCTCTGGTATTTATTTTTAAGCATAAAAAGCACAGTGCAAAGTGTAGACTAGTCAGTATAGTATGCTGGGATTTGTATGTTTTACAGAGCTATTCTGCTGGTATATGTACAGTTCTACAAAGAATCATAGCAACTAACAGTGGTTTCCCTCGAGGAGAGAAATAGAGGGTCCAGGAAGAGGACTTTCATACTTCTTAAATTCTGAACCACATGAATGTATTAACTATTCACTAAAGTAAGAAATACTAATAAAATAACTACTTTGACTACATGTTCCCTAAAGGTACTTCCAAGACTCACATTTTATGAGACTATAAATACAGTTGCAAAGTCTTTTCTTTTAAATAATAAATTAGATAAGACACCTAGCAAAGGGCCTAATAAACAACAGGCACTCAATATAAGTTCTTTCTTTTTTCTTTCTCTTATGACATCGACTTTTCTCATACTTTAATGTGCAAACTGCATTTTTATTTAGTATGAAGTTTATGTTCTTTTGGAATCCCAGTGTTTTTCTTATTAATTTGAATGAGCTCTCTATATAGATCAGATATTAACTATTTGTCAATTTTGCTGCAAGTGCATTTTTATTATATTTTGGATATGTGGAATTTTTCACATAACATTTTTATATATGAAAACCCGTTTATCCTTTCCTTTGTGAGAGATTTAGTCTTTACCTAGAACAAGCATGTCAAACTCAAAGGCTAACAAAGGCCAAGTAAACAAGGTTTAAGTTTATGTGGGCCACAAAAAAACAAAAGCTTCAATTTTCATAGAAATGTAGGTTTATTTCAATAGAGACATGCTGAAATAAATGAGTAATCATTAACATAAAAATAATAGAACATTTTAATAAAAATTAAAAATTTTTCTTGAACATTAATTATCAGACACTGAATAACTGCACAAATAAGTGTAATGCAAATAAACCTATTTCTCTTGCCCTAGCTGGTTTGGCTAAGTGGATAGAACATTGACCTGAGGTTTGAAGCATACTGGGTTCAATTTTGGCCAAGGGCACATGCCCGAATTGAGATCTTGATCCCCAGTAGGGGGTATGCAGGAGGTAGCTAATTAATGATTCCCTCTCATCATTGATAATTCTCTCTCTCCCTCTCCTTTCCTCTCTGTGAAATCAATAAAAATATATTTTAAAAAAACACACACACACAAAAACAAAGAAACCTATTTTTCTTGTTCTCCAAAAGTGAAATACTTCCTGTTGCACATACCAAACAAGTCAGTACAAAACTAATGACATGGCACTAGGCTGCTAAAATATTCGTTGTTAGTATTAGTGGAGAGAAATGGTGCACCTGTGCATAAGGCATGAAAAGGAAAAGAATGCAACACAATTATAATAATCAGTCATTAGTGAACGTTGTAGTTGTTATTAATAATTATGTGTAATAGAATATTGTAAAAAGTAAGTTATGACATTTTTAAAAATATATATTTTATTGATATTTTACAGAGAGGAAAGGAGAGGGATAGTTAGAAACATCAATGAGAGAGAATTATCGATCAGCTGCCTCTTGCACACCTCCTACTGGGGATGTGCCCGCATCCCAGTACAGGCCCTTGACCGGAATCGAATCCAGGACCCTTCAGTTCGCAGGCTGTCGCTCAATCCACTGAGCCAAACCGGTTTCAGCAAGTTATGAATTTTTATTAAAATGTTTCTTACAGCCAAAACCGGTTTGGCTCAGTGGATAGAGCGTCAGCCTGTTGATTGAAAGGTCCCAGGTTCGATTCCGGTCAAGGGCAGGTACCTTGGTTGCGGACACATCCCCAGTAGGGGGCATGCAGGAGGCAGCTGGTCGATGTTTCTCATCATGTTTCTAACTCTATCTTCCTCCCTTTCTCTCTGTAAAAAATCAATAAAATATATTAAAAAACAAAAAAAACACGTTTCTTACATACCATTATATTGGCTAGATTGCAAAAATATTCATTGTGGGCACCATGCTGCCCGCGGGCAGCAAGTTTGACATGCTTGACTTAAAAAATCTATTATCTTTTTATAGATTTAATAAATAGCATTTCATTTTCTATATGTTCTTACTTTATTTTGAACCTAATTTATTCAGTAATCTGTCAGTAATGAATTTTATTGTATGTTGGTCTAAATTGATTTTCTCCCAACCTAACTTATCCCTATTTCATTAATAAATGAGCCTTTTTCTTAATATCATTTTATAAGCCCACATTTATCGTATCGTGAACTCCACAGAATAAGCTTATTTTATTCCATTCATTTCTCCACTCTTGTTTCGTTTCAAATAGTGTGTAATAGTAACTTCAGGACTTTTTCTTTTTAAAGGCTGCCAGGAATAAAGGCTCCTAGCCTTTCTAAGTGGCCTGCTGCAATGTTTTATCATGGGCCTACAGGGAGCATCAGGTGCTGAGCACCGCAAGTTCTGAGCACAGCAACAGGCCACCTGGTGTGCTCACTATGGGCATCTTAATAATAATGCAGCACAAGAACAGAAATAATAATGAGTCTTTAAAAAAAAATCCTCACCTAAGGATATGTTTTCATTGGTTTTAGAGAGAGGAAGAGGGAGAGACAGAAACATCGATGAGAGAGAGAAAAATCCATTGGTTGCCTCCCGTATGCACCCCAATTGGGGATTGAACCCAGAACCTGGGTTTGTGCCCTGCCTGGGTATCAAACCTATGACCTTTCAGTGTACAGGATGACATCCAAATCAACTGAGCTACACTGGCTATGGCAATAATGAGTTTTCTTAAAGTCCAAATTCCATGAGCAATGAAATCTAAGAAAATGGCCCCAATTCTTTCAATGCATTGGAAATCTTATATCAAATTGTTGGCAAAAAGCAGGAATCTGTTTTCACTAGAGATTTAGATTGTATAGTGTTTGTTCAGAGAACACCTGACCTATGAAAAGGTCTGAGAGGAAAACAAACAGAAAGGAATCAAAGCTCGTCACACAATTTTCTAAAGGGTGTAAAAGACCTGGTGGAGGTTGGGTGCAGTAACAATGCTGGAGGGAGGACCCTTCCTCCCCCAAAGCCCCAGATGTCCAGAGCTTTCGTGAGGGAGTGGAATTTCAGTAGCTGATTAGCTGATAAAAAGAGGACTTGCCGGGACCAGTTTGGCTCAATGGATTGGCTTAGGGACTGAAGGGTCCTGGGTTCGATTCCGGTCAAGGGCATGTACCTTGGTTGCGGGCATATCCCCAGTGGGGGGTGTGCAAGAGGCAGCTGATCGATGACTCTCTCTCATCGATGTTTCTAACTATCTCTCTCCCTTCCTCTCTGTATAAAATCAATAAAATATATTTAAAAGAAAAAAAAAAAAGAGGACTTGATGGGCTGTGGACAGAGCATTGTCAAGTACAAAGCACAATCTGAGAATAGACACAGAGGTGAGGAAGAGCAAACAGACCAGTACAATAGTGAAGACATCCAATTGTCTGTGGAAGGCCTTGGAGAGTGGAGGTATAAAGCTGGGACTTTGCAAGGGTAAGCAAGTTTTTTCCTCCCCACCCCCTGAATATAATCTTATTTTTTAAAAGAATATATATTGAAGGCATTATTCTATGCATTTAGCAATTATAAATGGTACTTATGCTGCAGGCACTAGTCTAAATGGTTTACAACTATTAATTTGATTAGTCTTCATAAATCCCCAAAGAGGAGTATACTCCTATTATTCCTATTTTACCAATGAAAAAACTAACATAAGAAGATGAGATCTTTTGCCCAAAGTGCCACCGCTAACAAGAAGCCTAAGTAATTGTGAATGGAGGCAGTCAGGCTCTAACACCTTTGATCAGATGCTGTCTTTGATCAGATGCTTCTCTCAGTAGCTACGACTGAGTATTGGTGTGGGGGGGGGGCCTATGCAGGCAACCAGAAAATGCTAGTGATACATTTCCCCCTTAGGTGTCAACACATAAAAAAGAACATCTCATATTAGCCTATGTTCCCCTTATTGTAAACTAGCAGGAACTAGCACTGTGTGTGCGCAGGCATTAGTGTTGCCTTTGGCTGCACATCTGCTCCTTTCTAGAGTGTTTGTCCAAATGACCCTTTCCTTTCTACTGGGACAATCTAATTAGGTGAAAATCCTAGTGTAGTGTAATGACGTTACATTAAAATAATGAAATATCACTCAGGACCTTTCTGTAACCGCTAGAGGAGGTCGTCACAGAGGGAGGGACTGCTTCAGCAAGTTCTAAGGGTCCACGCGTAGCCCAGATGTGGCGTGAATATTTGAGGAGCTAAATGGAGGGAGTGGAGAAGTCTGCAGCTGTCCCCAGTATGGGGGCACAAACCAGACACCCAGCGTAGGACAGCAGAGATGGGAGCGTGGACAGAGTCCTGCCGATGACTTGCAATGGCCCCAAACAGCCTATAGCTATTGGTGGCTATTGGACTCCTGCATTAGGAACTGTATTACTTTCTGCAGGAGAGCTGCCTCTGAACTTCCAGGTTCCCATCAACACAATGCCTACGTGTTGAGCTATTTTGGGGACAGAGGACTCAGGTTTTTTTAGTCCAGCAGGAAGGGGAAGAAAAGAGCTGAAATTTTTTTTTTTTTACTTTAGGGAGTAGTCACAACAGAGATTGTATTATATATTTACTTTCTAGCCCTTTAGAGATAAAGTTTGCTGATCCTGGGCCAATTGTATCAGGGGGTAGTGAGTAGGTTCTCCTAGGAGGGGAGCTCTTGTATGTAGGATCTGTGTGAAATTAGATAGTAATGATATCCAGGGGTCACTTATGAAGGAAATTTATTATTATTATTTTCTATGAAGAAAATTTAATGCCATGTGTAAGGAATATAAATTCAGTCCTATAGGCAATAGGTTGAAATAATCATGTACATAAAAAAAGATGTATTATTTATACATACATAATTCCAAAGGTTCAAAAGGATATTTTGTAAAAAATTTCAGTCTTCTACCCTGACTACCAGGTACTCAGACACTTAGACAACTTCACAGAGATACCCACTTATTCATTCTTAAGTATCCTCACAGAGGTCATGCACATGCAAAAACATATATGAGATTACATATATATACTAGAGGCCTGGTGCACGAAATTCATGCACTTGGGGGAGGGTCCCTCAGTCCGGCTCTGTGCCCTCTTGCAGCCCTGGAGCCCTCAGGGGATGTCCGACTGATAGCTTAGGCCCGTTGGACATCCTTAGCACTGCCACGGAGGCAGGAGAGGCTTCCACCACCGCCTCTGCGCTCGCCAGCCATGAGCCTGGCTTCTGGCTGAGCAGCACTCCCCCTACATTGAGCGTCTGCCCCCTGGTGGTCAGTGCACATCATAGCAACCGGTTGTTCTGCTATTCATTCAATTACATATTAGCCTTTTATTATATAGTATATATATTATTTCATTAAAACCCCCCACAAATGGTGTTTTTCTATAGTTGAGTTTATGACTTTCTTCTTAAGGCTCTATGGATATATACTATCTTATTTGTCTACCTAGTTAGGGAGGTTTCTAAAACCAGAAGCTAAAAAATGATACTTTAGGAAGCTTTGTTGAACAGAAGGTTCCAGAATTAGAGGCAGGAAGACCAGGAAGGCAGCTAATGTCTATCTCAAAGCCTGGCATGAGGGTGGCCTGGCATTCCAGTGGAATTCAGAACTACAGGCTGTTCAAGACATGGTGCTGGGGACCCCTTGCCCCCCAACATTCCCTTGAGGGCTCATACCTTGGTGGATGTGTCAGAGATTGAAGAGGCGGAAGAACCAGGAAAATTCAAGACACATTTTTTTCCCAGGCAGCGACCATGTAAGTCAATGTCCTCATAAGGGTTTTCCTTCGTTGGCAGGTCTGTGGTCAAAGGCAATGGGTCAGGAACTGGGAACGTTGAAGAAGTTTTCCTTACCGGATCTACACAGGCCTCTCCCTGTGGAGATGTCTGATGTCTTGCTATCTATTTGTTCTTCTCTTGGTAACAGACCATGATTCTCATTGGGGTAACTCCCCATCTCCCGTTCTTAGATGTGTGAGATTAACTCCACTCCCATTTTAGGGCTTTAGCCAACTGGAGTTTCCAGAGTCCCAGTCTCAGTGACGAGTGTCAGGAAGGGCTCATACCCCAAGTCTAAGCCAATCACTGCATGGCATTCATGGGCTCTGAAGGTGAACAAGGGTCCTACACTCATCTAGCTGAGTGAGCTTTGGGATTTTTGCTGGGCCTTTCAGGATACAGACTCTCCCTCCAGGGAGCCAATGGCAGCCATCATGGGAACTTGGGAACCTGCTGAGAATGGAGCTAACTTGAGAAATAAGAAATGAGAAAGAAGCCAGTTCTGGTCACATGAGCCAACAAACTCTCTTTGTTGTTTCCAGTGGGTTTCCTGTTCCTTGTAAGGAGAGCTTCCCTGTCAGGTATACTCACTGCTAAGGAAAATCCAGACCTCATTCCTGCTTTGGATTTTGAAAGCCTAATGGCAGGAACCCATCTCCAGCAGCTTGGACACAGCAATTCTGGAATTCATTACATGTCCCTTGTATGTGGTCACATGTGGGTCTTTTCCTCCACCCTCACTCTTATCCCCAAAATGCAGATGCTGGTCTGAGCTCACACCTCACTGAAACTGTGATCTTCCCTAAAGATAATGTAACTCACTGAATGTATTTATTTAAAATTTTTAACTTAAATTCATTGGGGTGACCTTGGTTAATAAGATTATATAGGTTTCAAGTATATGATTCTATGTCATCTGAATATATAGCATTGTGTGCCCACCACCCAAAGTCAAATAATCTTTTGTCACCATATATTTGACCCCCTTTACCCTTTACAACCATACTGTTGTCTGTGTCTATGAATTTTTGTCACGTTAGTTCATTTGTTGCTTTGTTTTAAATCCCACGAGTGAAGTCATAGTTTTTGATTTTTTCTGACTTATTTTGCTTAGCATTATATTCTCAAGATCCATCCATATTGTTGAAAATGACAGTATTTCATATTTTCTTATGGCTGAGCTAACTCACCAAACTTAAATACATACAAATTAAGTAATCCCTATATTACTAAGCATTTATTATAAGCAAGGTATTTTGTATACCACTTTCTCCAGTCCTCAAACATGAAAGGTAGCTATCATCATCCTTAGTATATAGGCGAGAGAACTAAAGCTCAGAGATGTTAAGTTACCAGCTCAATGTCATACAGCTAATAAAGAGCAGAGCTAAGATTTGATCATGGATATTGAGGCTCCAAGTCTCCAGTGCAAACCACGCTGCACTGCACTGCCTCCTTGGCTGTTCGTCAGAGCCCTTCTCCACTCAGCCTCCACTCACATATTCCACTGTGGTCACTCTCCCACCCACCTACTTGTTCTCTCATTCATTTGAGTACATGTCTGAGAGAGAGAGAGAGAGAGAGAGAGAGAGAGAGAGAGTGAGTTTTAAACACCCAGCCCCATTTCTTCTCTCCCTTTCGCAGAGACACACTCACATCCATATACAGACATTTCTTACCTAGAATGTCTTCATAGACGTTCTCCTCTGATAAAGTGCATGTGAGCCCCAGCTTAGTCTGTGCATACCAGTCGACCCTGTTGTTCTCAGAGGAAGACTGCAGTAAATCTTCAAACTCATAGGACTTTCTGGGTTGTAGCAGATGGGAGGGAAAAAGAATAACCCCAAGTTCTTAAATTAAATTAGGCTGGTTCAGAGAATATATACCGAAAAAAAAAATTTTTCTTGCAAAAATTTCTATTACTGAAATCAACTCTGATGTTTGTAAAACAGGTGTGAAAAAGCTTCAAATATGAGATGTGGCTTTTTGTTTTTTGTTAATCCTCACCTGAAGATATTTTTCCATTGATTTTTTTTTTTTAAAGGAGAATTGAAAGGAGGAGGAGAATCAGAGAAAGAGAAACATCTACAGCAGAGAAACACATTGATTGGTTGCCTCCCACACGTGCCCTGGTCTTGGTAGATGGAGCTCACAACTGAGGTATGTGCCCTTGACCAGAACCCAGAACCTTCAGTACAAGGACCGATGCATATCCACTGAGCCACACCATCTAGGACCGATGTGGCTTTGACTTGAAAGATGCCCCATTACTGCCATACTCCTATAGTTTACGAGTATACTATTATGAATATACTATTATGTATATAACAGTATATAACAATATACTATTATGCCAAGTAAAGATATCAAAGTATATATCTAAAATACAGTCCCAACTTTGTAAGCAAACATACACAAAGAAAATAGAAAGAAAGTAAAATACACAGCAATGACCCTGGTAGTTCTGCTATTTCTCACCTTCCTTGCCAACATTTCTAACTGGGGAGATGGAATGAGGGGGGGAAGACTATTTAAAAAAATATATATTTTATTAATTTTTTACAGAGAGGAAGGGAGAGGGATAGAGAGCTAGAAACATCGACCAGCTGCCTCTTGCACACCCCCAACTGGGGATGTGCCCGCAACCAATGTACATGCCTTGACCGGAATCGAACCTGGGACCCTTCAGTCCGCAGGCCGACGCTCTATTCACTGAGCCAAACCGGTTTCGGCAATTTTTTTTTTTAAGGTATTATATATGTACATATCTTACCATTGCCCCACCACAACCACTCCCATACATGCCCTCCCTCCCCAGAGTTTTACATCCATTGGTTATGCTTAAATGCATGCATACAAGTCCTTCAGTTGATCTCTTATCTCCCCCATATCTCCCTCCCCTCCCCGTTGTAATTGGACTGTTTGTTTGCTGCTTTACTGTCTCTGTATCTATCTTTTTGTTCATCAGTTTATAATGTTCTTTATTAGGAAGACTATTCTGTCTATGTGTTAGCTTACCATAGTTCACTGGTTTTTCTTTCCTTTACCCTCTCAATATGGCATCTCTATGTATCCCTTTTCTGAAACTGTCCCCTAAAAGTCACTAGTGATTTTCTGGTAAAATCTAACCACTTCTTTGGTCCTTTAAAAAGAAAATTTTTTATTGATTTTTAGAGAGAGAGGAAGGGAGAGACACACAGAGAGAGAAACCAATGTGAGAGCAAAACATCAATTGATTGGCTGCCTCCTGCACCCTCCCCACCAGGAATCGAGCCTGCAACCCAGCTATGTGCCCTGACAGGGAACTGAGGGGAACTCAAGGGGCAAACTTTCAGGGCACAGGATGACGCCTAACCAACTGAGCCACATGGGCCAGAGCTCTTGGTCTTTGATTTAATGACACCGTTTTTCTTTACAAGACATCTCTCAGATTCTACAGTGTAAGGGAGCAGTATACCGTTAATGTACCATCCATGGGCAGGGGCTCATGTGTCAACTGTTGTGACTGGTCCTTGATGAGATAGGTACAAAAATTGAAAGTAAGCATTTAGAAATTTTTAAAGCAATTTGACAGAATTTTTAAGAAGTGAGTCTTGAATACAGTATTACCTTTTCTTCATTTAATTTCACTAGTATCCTATCTAATACAGAGGGAATATGCTAATTGACCCTCACACCACAGCTAATAAGGAAGAAATATGGTAATTGACTGCCACGCCCTCAAAGATGGCGGCACCCACAGCCACCAGATGGCAGCGCCCAGTTCCCTCAGCCCCACCACATGCCTACCTCCAGAGTCTCCCAGTCCCCTCAGCCCCTCAGCTGCCCAGGGCCAGCCCCAGGTGCAGGCAAGCCTCAGCTGTCAGCTGCCCAGCCGCTCAGGGCCGCCTGAGGCTCAGGCAAACAGGGCCAGCCAAGGCTTGTGCTGCAGGCAGTGGCAGCAGCAGAGGTGTGATTGGGGCATTGCCTTCCCTTGATTGCTGATGGCCTCCCATCCTGAGGGCTCCGGACTGTGAGAGGGGTCAGGCAGGGCTGAGGGACTTCCCGTCCAGTGCATGAATTTTCATGCACTGGGTCTCTACTTTTATTATATTTTACAACACTACTGTTTGGCAAAGGATTACAAACACAAGCACAGGGGTCAGGGTGGTTTAAGAAGGCTGATGTAATGCTGCCCCAGGCTACTTCCCCTCGCACACAACCCTTCCTGGGCCTCTCTTCCTCTTTCTGGGCTACGGGCTTCCCAAGGCTTTTCCTCTTTAGGCTCTAAACTTTCATATCTACACATCTAAATTCATCACCCCTTATCTGCACCTCATCCACACTCCTTTATGAACTTGACTTGTCACTTAGGGCAGGATAATCAAGAAGAGCCAAGCCAGAAACTTCCATGCTGGGTGTCTGTGTTCTTAAGTGAGGTCAAGAAGCTAAAACTGTTATCCATGCACTGGGGTCCTGACTTATTAACAGAAGTTCATGAGCCCATCTCCCTTCCCTTGAGGTGTCTAGCCTGGAGAGGAGGACTGAGCTCCAAAGCTTAGCATAAGGGGTCTGGTGGCAGTGGTGGTGGTGGTGAAAGGGGAAGCAGGGCTGTGCTGTTTTCTCTAGGATGGAAATGGGCAGGGCTGTGAACCCATCCTGAACAATCCCTAGTCTGGGATGCCAGGAGCCCAGCCTGGCATTCACAGGGATCTGATTAGAAATGGAGCAGTGGTGGTCTGTGGCCAGAGCAGGGCAAAGCCACAACTCCTGACCTGGGTTCTGGTGAACTCACCTATACTAACTTCTGGTGACCTCATCTATACTAATACAAGGGTAATATGATAATTAGACTGAACATCTTTCAGACGACCTTCTGGACATCCTTCTGGACAAAACCATGGTGGTGAGGCTGAGGCAGAGGCAGTTAGGGGAGATCAGGCTGGCAGGGAAGAGCAGTTAGGGGGATCAGGTTGGCAGGGGAGAGCAGTTAGGGCAAATAAACCAGAAGGCAGGTGAGTGGTTAGGAGCCAGCAGTACCAGACTGTGAGACTGACAGTTGGATATCCCCTGACGGATCCCGGATTGGAGAGGATGCAGGCTGGGCTGAGGGACCCCCATCCCTGTGCACGAATTTCATGCACCGGGCCTCTAGTTCTAATATAAGAGGTTAGCTATACTTTGCCTATAATTTCCAACACATAAAAGATACCACCTAAATACAATAGCATTAGAAAAGAGCAATTTCTAAAAATTATAAACTTCCTAAAAAAACTAATTAGAAGATGTTTATTCACATTGCAAAACTCTCATTTAATTTGCAAAAGAGTTCATAACAAGATTTCTCTTTCTGTATTAAAATGTTGGTTTTCAGGTAACTAAGTTCTATGCAGGAAGCCTGAAAGACAAATTTGAATCAACGTGAAGCCATGGGGCATAAAAAACTCAAGGAGAAACCAAAAATCTTTACATGCCCAGTTTCTAGGGCCTGTGGGGAAGAGTTCCAGTTCCAAAGTCTGATTTATCCTCCTCCTCTGTTGGTAACATATCTGCAAGCAATGACTTCACACAGCTCCTCCGAAGCACTGCTGCTGTAATTTGCATAGAAGCCTCCAAGGACAGGGGTTCATCTGGTTCAGGTGTGTGATTAGGCCCCCGGAGAAGAAAAATACGTTTAAACAAACCATACCACCATTTAGCTAAGTATTTTCTATAAAAATGTTTTTTAATTTGAAAAAAATATTTTAATGCCTTTATTTATATATTAACTTTGAGAGAAAGGAAATTTTGAAAGGCTGATGATAGCCATATCTAAACTGGCTTCACTCTGTTTAAATATTTCCACACTTGTTCCACATCCAGCCCACATGTTTAATAAGCACCTTCCAAGGGTTGGGATGAGCTCATAGCTGGTGATACAAAGGCAAGAAGTCCCTGCCTTCGTGGAGCCCACAGCCTGTTGAAGGGGTGCAACCTCCTCTCAGCCTGAGTTTGCTTCCTGGGCCCTCAAATTATCACATGATTTGTATATTCCTTAGTTTTAGAAATGCTGGAATGATCTTAGTGGTCCACTGAAGTTTGCTAAAGTAGGTTATAATTTATGAAATATCCAAATTTCAACAACCAGTGCCAAATACTGTGATTTCAAGTAGTATTTTGAATGTTATTTGTGACTTTCTCATATTTTTGTATGAAATCTATAATAATAAAATCATAATACGCTAATTAGACCGGTGTCCTTCCGCATGACTTTCCGGACAAAAGCCGGGGCTGCAAGAGAAACCTGGGTTCTGGGTGCCGGAGGGGAAGCTGGCGCCAGCAGCCGGGGGAAGGCAGGCCTACTCTTGCATAAATTTTGTGCATCGGGCCTCTAGTACTAATATAAGAGTTCAGCAGAAGCCGGTTTGGCTCAGTGGTAGAGCGTTGGTCTGCAGACTGAAGAGTCCCAGGTTCGATTCCGGTCAAGGCATATACATTGGTTGCGGGCACATCCCCGGTGGGGGGTGTGCAGGAGGCAGCTGGTCGATGTTTCTCTCTCATTGACGTTTCTAGCTCTCTATCTCTCTCCCTCCCTCTCTGTAAAAAATCAATAAAATGTATTAAGAAAAGAGTTCATCCCACATCTCCATTGGATGGCGCACAGGGATCTTAAAATTAACAGGTCCAGGACTGAACTCATGTTCTTATTTCCCGCTCCCTATGAGGACCAGAGCTCCTCCAGCAAAGTCATTTCAGCAAAAGCTGTCACCTTCTCTCCTACTGCCCACTTCTAAACTATTCACCAGAGTTCTACCTGCAAAGTACTCCTGGAGCCCACCCCCCACTTCT